AAACTAACTTTACACAGCACATTTTAAAAAAGACACGTTTATCAGAGTCATGATCAGACTGTTACATCTTTTTCAGCATTAGGCTGAAAGTAATCTGACCATTACTAAGTTGTTTCCTGTGATTTTATTTGCAATCAGTATGCATTGTAGTTCCTGTTATCTGCAGTGGAGCTTCTTATTGAGATATTTCAAGATATTTGTTCACAGACAGGACTTAAGAGTACCTGAAAGGATGTGACTATGAATAATAGAAAAACAGAAAACTGAGGAGATGAAAATCAAGGCATAATTTGTTGCTTTTAAATGTAAGAATTTTAAATGTATCCTCTATAATTCTTTAAAAAGCTGTTGGTTCTGTGAGTCCCTCCAGATATAAAATGTTGGAGCAATAAATCTTGGTTTGAGAGATTGCTATTATCTTTTCCCCCTATTATTTCCATTATTTGTCTGAATGGGGGAAAGGGATATGTGCGAAAAGAATAGAGTCTTCACCACTGTTATCATCAAATAATTCTCTATGCATGAATTATATATTACCTAGTTATGGTGGCTGTGTTTCAAAGTGGGTTAAACAGATGCATCCTCAGAACTGACATATAATGATGTCCAGAGTTCACATAGCAAAACGATATTTGTTAAGCCAATGTTTAAATTGCACACACTATTTTGCAAGGCAGAAGAATAACAAGCAGAATGTACAGTAAAAAAAAAAAAAGACTCATTGTCAACACCAAAATCTCAGTTATAATAAACAATTCCTCCCGTCCCTGAATCTCAACAAAGGAGTAGCTGTTGCTTTAACCTGGATTTTTATGAAGAAAACAAAACTGTTTCTAAGAATAATTGAATGAATACTCCGGAATTACTAACATGTACATTTTACAATGCTATTAATTCAAATTTAAATGCCTTAAGTAATATGTAGATGCAGATATGCTCTTGCTTATGGCTTGCTTTCTCTTGTAACTAAGGTCACTTGGAGCTTCCTCCTCTGTGCTGGGTGGATCCTTCTCTATGTGCTCAGCATTGTTCTTGGCTCACCTAGAGCACTTCTTATATCAGAGGCCTTATTATTTGCTGGTTATTTGAAGCTTCTGCCATGCTGAGTGGCACACCTTTATCAATTAATAGCTAGAAAGAGTTCATCTCCCTAACCAACACTGTAAAATTGCTACTGATTTTGCTGCTTTGCTCATAAGCCTCTATTTATACCTGAGTTTGCTTCACCTGTGTTTTCTCTGATAATCCCATTAATGTATCCCTTCACCATATGATAAGCCAATGGATTTTTCCAGCTTTTGATAAGAAGAATCACGTCCTAAGTGGATTTGGAACTAAGGTGAGCCTGTTAGAGAGAATGACAGATATTATGACGTATTTTAGGCACAAGATGGATAATACATCCCCCATCACCAACATTCATCTTAGTGCTATCATTGTAACCTAAAGCACTTGATAATTATTGTATACAATTAGAGGTTAAACTGTTTTCATAATGAGTGAAATAATTTTAGTATTTAGACCAAATGATGTTACAAAGTGTGCATGATCTCTCTTCTAATAATTCAAAGGGATGACAGTTCAGCCATTGGAAGGACTTGTAGGGCCTAAAGCTGTATTATTCCAGGCAGGTGCAATTTCAAACAAACTGTGGTATACAAACAATGCCTGTCACTGTGACTTCAACCCCTCTTCTATATTCCCCTAACACTCATCTCTTCGATCCAAAATGCACAGTATCATCTCAGGAATGCTCATAGTGACTCAGGATTCCCAGGCTGAAGGCAGACATGAGTAGTTTCATCTGTCCTGTGCCCCTTCACCTCCACCTTTGCACCATCACGATTCTACTCTTCTAGGTGTTTAGTGTTAGCATGCTCATCCTTAAGAACTGTAGTACCTGGCACAAAATTATGAATGGAGGCCTACATGTTTATGTCTTATTATTTATTATAAATCAAACAGATATTATTAAATAAAATGTTTTGTCTTCCCATTTTGGCAGATATATCTTTATAACAACCTGAATGGCAGGTAAAGTGTTAGAATTTTTGGACTTCTCAGGAATACAGTGGCATAGAGAGAGATGGACTCCAGCCCTTAGCCCATCCTCTAATCAATTCTGTCCTGTATTGTGAGAGGCTGTGCACACAAGTGAATGGCCACTCTAGCCCCCATACCCAAAATCCATGCACTCACCTCTCAAACATTTGCACTTGGACCACCCATCCTTCTTAGGTGCATTGGTGGCAGAGTCTACTATCTCGGGGACAGAACTGGGAAAAGCCCTGTATCACAAGCCCTGGATGAGGGCCCAGGGCTATATGGAAATGGAATTCTAGAATCACAGGGGTTTGGAGCATGGTGTAGAAAAGATGAGTGCTGACTCCAGGTGGGCACTTCTCTTGACTTCACAGAATTTGCCTAGTGGTGAAGTTGTGGCCAGAGAACAACCAGAGGGCTCAACAAATATGTGTTGGTTTCTTACTATGCACCATCACTGTTCTGGTCACACAGGACACATGATTGAACAAATCTATGTTCTTGCCCTTGTAGAGCTTATATTCTGGGAATAGGAGAGATAGACTCTTATTATTGAATGTAATAAATATATAAACTGTATAGTGCATCAGAAAGTGAGAAGTACTGTAGAAACAATAAAAGTTAGAGCAGGGAAACATGGGAGGGTTGGCATCAACTGAGAAGTTGAGATTTGTGCAACAACTTGAAGGCAGTGAGGAAATTGACCAAGAAGATAACAAGAGCGAGAGAAACTCAAGCCTTTAAGAGTATAGTGAGCACCTTGGACCACAGTTGTCATGTCAGAAGAACAACAAAGAGACCAGCAAAACTGGAATAGAAAGAGCAAGGTGGAGAGTAAAAGAGGAAGACAGGAAAACAAATTAACCAGCAAACAAAAACAAAAAACCGATGGCCGTATCACATAGTGCAGCACTATCTAATAGAAATATAACGATAACCATAAAAATGTAATTAAAAATTTTGTGTAGCCACAATAAAAAGTTAAAGAGGACCATGTCAAGTTAACTTTAATAATCTATTTTATACAACTCAGTTTATCTAAAATGTAATTTCAGTGTTTAACCTTTGAAATCCAGAGTGTATTTTACACTTAAAACACATCTCTCAATCTGTACTAGCTACGTTTCAGGTGCTTAACAGCCAAATATGTCTAGTGCTTACTGCACTGGACAGACCCGGTAGAGGTTTTGACTCATCATTGAAAGAACTTTGTGACTTGGGAGATATTTCAGGGTTTTAAGAATTTAAATGTCATGATTTGATTTATATGTTAAAAATCAGGGGTAGCCTCCACTGAGAAAACACCATAAGCAATCAAGAGTCTGGTGTGGCTCAGTTGGTCGAGCATCATTCCCATGAACCAAGAGGTCACTAATTTGATTCCTAATCAGGGCACATGCCCAGGTTGTGGGCTCTATCCCCAGTGGGGGTGTGCAGAAGGCAGCTGATCGATGTTTCTTTCTCATGGATGTTTCTCTCTCTCTCTCTCTCTCTCACTTCCTCTCTCTCTCTAAATCAATAAAAACATATTTTTTAAAACAAGTAGAAAGAGGGAGATTTATTGTAGTAACCTTGATGAGAACTGAGGGTGGCTCAGATGAAGCGGTGGCTCAGATGAAGCAGTGGCTGACATAAGAAGTGGTTTATCCCTGATCATTTAAAATATGGGACAAAAAGGAAGGGTTGCATTTGGTGTGCAATAGGGGAATGAAGAATGATTTCCAGGCTTTGTCCTGAACAACAGGAAGGATGGATTGACTTTAACTGAGATGAGGAAGGCTACTAGAAGGTTGGTGGAAGGAAGATGCCTGGTCAGTTTTGGATAGGTGTGTCTGAGAAGTGTATTAGGCATTCAGGTAAAGATGTAGAGAAGGGAGTTGGACAGGAGTCTGGAGTTTAGGGGACAGTTTGGAAATAAAATTTGAAGATTGTCAAAGTTGAAACAGGATAAGATCACCAAGGGAGTAAAAGAGGACAGAGAAGAGAATCTGAAATTAAAGGTATAAAATAACATAAAATTGGCATTAAAATAATATAAAATATTTTACTACTTTTGCAGTATATTTATTTTTTTAATGTAACACATGTTCTTAGCTGTCATTATTATCTTGTTCTTTTTACTGAAAAAGTGTACTTTTGTTTTTTTTCTTTTTTTTAAATTGAATTTACTGGTGTGACATTGGTACACTAAACCATCCAGGTTTCAAGTATACAACTCAACAAAACATCATCTGCACGCTGCATCGTGTGTTCACCACCCAAAGCAAAGCCTCTTTAAATGATACCTGAAGCCCTTTTGGTGACTTTTTTTGCTTTAAAATGTCTCACAAAACTTCAGTTAATTAACTCATATTATGGAAAGCTACATTAAAAAACAGGCAGCAAATATAAAAACTGTGGCCATAATCAAATTAGTGACCATAATGCCTTTAAGGCATATTTTTATATGTGTTCCCCAGAGACATACAAGGCAACTGTTCTTTGATAGCGATAGTTCAACACCAGATCAGTAACTTGAAACCTGTCCCACAATTTACAAACTGATACAGCTTTGTTTTATTAGTCATAAGTGTACCGGTTTGCATTTTTTTATATAAAGTTTGATTGATGGTTATGTCTTCTTACTCATTTTAGTTTGTCAATAAATGAGAGCTTTATGCCTTGAATTATATTCAAATCTCAGGTATGAAGACTGCTTCATAAAACAAAATCCATTATTTTACTGTAGACACATCCATGATTTAAAATAAAACAAAAACTCATATTTCAAATGAGATTTTAACTCTTTGTGATCTTGTATTACCAAGGCAATTATTGGCAATATGATGTGGAAATGGCTCTATAATTAAAACTGAAAATTATAATTAAATGATTTATTTTTATCTAAATGACTACATAAATATACTGACAAATAACCTTTAATATTTTAACACCGGCATTTGTTTGTGTTTTTCCAGTCTATCCGGGAAGTCACCGGCTACGTGTTAGTGGCTCTGAATCAGTTCCGTTACCTGCCTCTGGAGAATTTACGCATTGTTCGCGGGACAAAACTTTATGAGGATCGCTATGCCTTGGCAATATTTTTAAACTACAGAAAAGATGGCAACTTTGGGCTTCAAGAACTTGGATTGAAGAACTTGACAGGTAAGGAAAATGTATAAAATAGCGAATACACTGTCATTATCGGTGCAACGTGTAGACACGTGTGGGTGCACTGTAGTATGTGCTATATTGAGGAACACTAAAGCATTTAAATATCTACCATTTATTCATATTTTGAGGAATTATGGCCTGTGAGTCCCTTGTTTTATTTACAGATTTGTGAGTGCAGTCTGAGGGATACCTTAATACTGTTATCTCAGGCGAACAGCAGTACACTGTTCAGGAAATGCTCAGTGACTGAAAACTGAGATAGGAAGCAGGTTGAAGAATGTGTTTGGTGGTCTCAGGTGAATGGTGGACCATATCATCAAATCTGCAGTAAAGCAACCCTCACTCTCCGGAAAGCTCAGTAAATGCACGAGCTGTTATATCTAGTATTTTGCACAATTCCTTATTTTTGGAAAATATATCTATTAATTCAGTTTTGATTTCTCTTGTTTAGCAACTCACTAAATGCCACTTGTAATTCTTTCTCAGAATTCTTTAATATCATACCATGCCATCAGTGATTTTCCCTCCCCTAAGACTGCAGATAGTCCGCCAACAACCTAATATTATCATCTTGCTACAAAAAGCACTTTGTAGGAATTTGTTTTGTAAACTGGTCCTTCCAATTCTGTTGATATCTTATCAGTTCCTATAGTTCATAGTTCATAAAGGCTGTGGTGGGAGACTTTTTGTGATAATGTTTCTAATTATGAATTTTGCACATGTGCCTGTAATCAAAATGTGCTAATTAGTAATTATCATCCCACAGTGGGATAAAGGAGTCGACGCTATTAATTTAATCTAAATTAATATCTATATATTTTGCATCAAAATATGTAGTGCCTTTCTGTGTATTTGAGTTTACTCGCTGGTAGTGTTTCCTGATATTCAAAAATGAGATAACTTGCCTGGCTGGGTGTGGCTCAGCGGTTGAGCATCGACCCAGGATCCAGGAGATGGTGGTTCGATTCCCGGTCAGGGCACATGCCCGGGTTGCAGGCTCCATCCCCAGTCGGGGGCGTGCAGGAGGCAGCTGATCAATGACAAATCTCTCATCATTGATGTTTCTACTGTCTCTCTCCCTCTCCCTTCCTCTGTCTGAAATCAATAAAAATGTATTAAAAAAAAAGAAAAGAAAAAGAAAAATGAGATAACTTTAGATATAGTACCTTAAAATATTAAGTAACATATAAGATTATTATTATCAGGATATTAAAATTATTTGTTGCTTTCATTTTCAGTGGATGTAAAATATATCATTTTAAGTTAGAAGTAGCTTTGTAATTAGTTAGACATGAGACCTAAAATTGGAATATTTTGAAGGAAGAAAGGAATACTGATTATGTTACTTACTTTGGACATGATTGCTATAGAATTGATGACATAATGGTAAATGCAAATTGTTCAGAATTTATAGATTCTTTCATCAACATTTTTATTATTATTTCTTTTTGTTGTTTCAAAGATAGTTATCTTACTAAAAAGCAGGGTTTTTGACTAAATTACGACTTGCGTGGAAATAATGATAGAAGGAAGAACTTGGAAGTGGAATAGAGAAAAACTGAATGATTGAAATTAGGAATCTAAAAATAATATGATCCAGCTAAAAGCTTCATAGGAAGCATTATGTTTTCTTCATGATTTTTCTATGATTGAGTCGAAGAAATGAATAATGTTTTTGAAAAGTTTATAATACTTTAATTATACTATTATTTTATAATATGTGGTATTTGTAGACTCTTGCCATACAGAACATAGGTACAAATTTAATACATGAATATGTACATTTTTCTTACCAGGTTTTACATTAAATATTTGAATTTTTACTTTATGAATTATGAGGCTATTTCTTTGGGATGCTACAAATAGACAACGTAAGGTTTTCAAAAGTCAGCCAAATTCTCTCCTTTTTTAAGACCAACATATTTATCTACTAGGGCCTTTATTTAATATTTTATGGATATTCTAATTGGTTAGCTGCATGTTAGGTCATCCCGATTAGATTATTTTTGAGATGTGGACCAAAATTTTAAACAAAAAATGGAATGCTGAAGCTATTTTTGGGGAGGCCTCAATAAAAAAGTAAAGTATATATTAATTGTACTGAATTCTGATATACTAAATATAAAATAAATGCTTAGTCCAGGAGATATATCTGAATGATGTAACATTTGAACAGTGTAACATATGACGTTTACATCTGAATGTCTGCCTTCAGATCTGCACAGGCTATTAATTAAAATAGTACATCAAGTTACACAGTACCTTTTAAAGTTTAAGTTTTTCAACTCCCCTCCACATTATTCAGTAGCTGTCAAATAACCTAATTACAGCATTGAAATGGACAGGCCATTTGTAATTGACTCAATGTATTTTAAAAAGTATCGGTGTGGAATCAGAAAATTCTCTATTCAAATACAAGATCATGACTTACAGTCTGTCTCTCTTTTCTTCTTTAAAACTGATAAGAAAATTCCACCTCACAGTGTTGTTACAGGCCTTCATGGAGTAAGGCAGGGAACTGGTCAACCATAGCCGCCTTCTCATAGATTACAGAGGATGTTTAAGGAACTTTAGTTTTCCTTCTCCGTATTGTTTTGTTTTTAGCTTCCCTTTGTGTGGACACACTGACGAAACAATTGCTCGTGTTTCTGCATATTCAAATAGGTTCCTGTTGCTTTTATGAGACTTTGAAAGGTGACTTGTTTAGACACAAAGTTGGTCTGAATTTCATCATCTCTTCTGATACTACTCTGAAAATGCTTCTAGTATAAGATCTTTTCTCTGGAAGTGAAAAGCCCAGGCTTTTCTTCATCTACTCTCAGTAAGATTGCTGTCCTCAGTACTCCACAGGACGGCTCTCCTGTCCTTCAGTGGCTCAGGCCAAGCACCTGTTGCCCCAGCCCTTCATTTCAAATCACCATCATCATGTTCCATCCTTCATTACCCCGTTCTTGACCTAAGCAAGAGACACTCATTCTGAGTTCTTTTTCTGACATTAGAGTTGCTAAGCATTCCTTCAATTGCTCTGTGAAAGGTCTTAATAACACTTGAGTGGGTTCAACTAGCCTAGTTCAGATTGTTGTTAGACACAATGTTTGTCAAAGGTACTACTAATATTTACATACTGTGATATCTGCAGAAAATAATTGATTCCAAGAATACTCCCAGGTTAAGGATAAGTTACTTGGAAAATGGTTTGATCAAAACTAACATACTGAAAATTCTATCAGTCAGCGGGAATCTGTGAAGAGTGGTACATTTTTATGAAGATGTCAATTTTAAGATCAGGTCCACAATTACTAAAAAATGATACTCTAATAAAAAATGTTCAAGAACATTGTTTGCTTGTCACATCAGACAACGCATATTAACAAAAATAAAGAAAACCATAAGCGACGTGTTTTTGTGTATAGTTAAAACAGAAACATATTTGAAAGGAAATGTTATAAATATGGGATCAGGTAGAGTGACCATTTCAGCAGATTTCTAGGACATGTTTTCAGCTTTTGAGAACTGATAAGTGAATTTATGGCTCTGAATGAAGGTAAAATGGAAATTTCTTATCCTGTTGTACCAGTGATCAAACTAGAGACTGATACTGCAGACATAAGGCATGGGGTGGTGGGACTTAAAGGGGATAGAACTATTCCTTCTCTGCTAGCTCACATGTTTTATGTCATGAGTATTAAGATAATCTGCTCAGACCATGAAAAGCAGCCTCCTTGATTTAAATCCCACTCTCTGTACTACATTCTTTTTAAACTCTATAGCATCCTTAGGAAAAATCTGGGGCAAGTCTAGCATTAGGAGAGTTTCTCAGGAAAATTCCCTATTTGGGACTTCCTGTGATTATACTTTGTTGTCCCTAAGATACACTAAGTTCTGTATGTTCCTTTCCCTAAGAGAGAAAGCATATTTATTCTAAGGAAGGAAAACATGTAAGGTCAAAAAACTCCCTTATAAAGCTCATTTGTTGAGAAAGCATGCTTGTTTGCTTATGACATTCAGAAAATGGAAGAGAGTCTTTGCTCCTCAGGGTCTCACATGCAATAATAGAAATTGATTAGATATCATCATGAATCTAGGATTTCATTCTGAGGAAAGCAGTAAAGATATCAGAATATCTGCTTCCTCACCCTTTTAGCAGGTCATTAGCTTTGTTGGGCCTGCAGATACCAATGGTGATGGAAAGAGGCTTGACTTTGGGTGGTGATCACACAATACAGTCTACAGATGATATGTTGTGAAATTGTGCACCTGAAACCTATTTAATTTTGTTAACCAGTGTCAGCCAATAAATTCAGTACAGAGGGGGTAAAAAGAGTTGGCAAGTTCTCTGCATCCATTCCTAGTCACCAAGCAATGCTGGGGACAGAATTATTAATAGATCATTGCACATCCTCAACTGCTGGAATCAAATCAGAGCTTTGGAAGCAGTGTGAATCATGTTTGGGGATAACATGAATCTGTATTTCAGAAGGAATAAATAATGCCTGACGAGCCTATTGCAATTTAAAATATATGTAAATATATTATCTAGTTTAGTTAGAAGAGGCAGCCCCAAGCTTGGCACACCCTAAAACCCTGTCAGCCTTAGATAAGAAAGAGGCTTCCTGCTGTTTTCCTCCAGTGTTTATCAAAGGTGTGGTAGTTATAATTCCTATTTTGTTATGATGTATACATTTAATAAAATGCTTTCAGGTTCCTTTTTACTTTGGTTTTCCACACACGGCCCAGTAATGCAAACTGGGAAAGTATTTTTATTGTTATTTTGTGTATAAGGACAGCAGGCCCAAGGTCTTGTGGCAAATAGGGCCAACTTGTCTGGAATCTAGATCTATTTCCCATCTTTTCATACTGTGCCATTCCTGACAAATGCTTAGGATATCTTCTCCAGGTAAGACCACAGTCAGAGAAATAATAAATTGCCTCTAAACATAAACAACTCAAGATTAAGCAGAAGATCTTAAAGTTATATTTTAGAAAGAACT